ATATGTGCATCCTTGGTCACCTCTTACGGTGCCATCTCTCTGATCTACCTTAAAAAGACTTTCTGGAATTATGATAAAAGACTATGCACCAGTAATATATGCACAGGCTCTAAAAGTCATCTAAAGGTCACAGCTATGCCAACAGATGAGGTCTAAGTCAAAGATTCAATATCTTTTTCATAAATGATTTTCTCAATCAAATATTTCTAATTAACATCATCCCAATTAAAAGTGTATGGATCTATTTGTGGCTCCAAATGAGCTTTTCTGCTACAAGTGTTTTCATATGCCTTTTTTCTTCTTGTCCTAAAGCACATATGTTCAAAGAGATTTAATAGGTGAAAGAGTGAGGGTTCAGTGGGTTTTTTTGAAGAAAGAAATATTAAAGATAAAATAGTAGAATCACAGTGGTATATAAAATGTGATTATTCAATTTTTGCTTCACAACATTTTGCTCTTGTGAACTAAAAATGCTAGTGAAACATTACCATATTAAATATTTTAATTTTTAACTTTTCACCTAATTACTATGTGGAACAGATTTTTTTTTAATACTCATTTGGCATTAAATTTCTTCCAACTAGCTTCCAAGAATCTACTCTTTAGTGACAAATAATGGAATGCAGGAAAGAGTTTCTGTCAGATGGCTACTCTTAACTCCCTTGTACAGGCCTATTTTTTTTGAAATAGTGCTTTTCATCACTCCGGAATCTAATTTGAACCATTCTGTAATGACAACTACTGTGAACAGTATTAGGATCTTTTGTTTTCTGACACTAATGTGGTTATCTTTATGGACTCTTTCGTGTAACCTAAAATAGTTCCGTAGTAGGAATACAATTAAAGATATTACTGTAATTAAATAATTACATATTTGATTTTTTTTAATGGCATCAAATCATATTATGAACCACCAAGTGCATGAGAAATTCTCCTTGATTTTTTTCTTTTTAATGGTTATTGAAATGATCTCATGCTGGCAGGTGTTGAATTGGTAAATTCCTAGGGGTGAGGCAGTATCACTAGTGTCTTGGATCATAAATGTTAAATTACATGAGATAAATTGACAAGAAAGTCAATTAATGCATTAATTACCAGTACTGTGAATTCTTAATTAAGTGATGCAGAATTAAATGTTTACATTTTTACTGTAGCAAACCATTTACATTACAAATAAAGAACAAATGTATGCATAGACATAAATAACTCTGAGGAAGGAAAACATGGAGATGTGTGTCTTCTAATTTTAAAATAATGAAAAAAATTAAACCATATATAGATATTTCTTCAATGAATAAGAAACTTTACTGTAAGAAACTAATAAGTTCCTATAAGAAGAAAATAAGAATTGATGCAAGAACTAACATAGTAACATAGCTGTCCAATCAAATATTGTCTCTCTGACCCTAAAAGAGGACAAATTCCACACATTCTTGCAATTTCTTTCAGATTCCAGTATTTTCAGAATTCCTTCTGGTTTCCATATTTTGTCTTATGAATTATCTGGATCCCCTATCTTATAGGAGACAGATCATGCCTTAAATCAAACTGAGTGCTGAGTTTGTGTGTTATGAATTATTTTTCCTTTAACACATTACTTTTTTTTTTTCTTATGTTTCCCCTTTGTATTTTAAATCCCAGGTTCATTAAAAACGTTGGTTGGCACAGTGCTCAGTTGAACAGCAACTGAGAATTTAATCAAGCAAATCTCCCCTTAGCTATATCTGATTATAGATTGCAATATTTCTGGGACAGATTTCCAAAGGTGTTTCTGTATTTGACTTCCATTCAAATAGGTGAGTATAAACATTTAAATATAATTATTTTCCAAAATCTGTTCTTTGTTCATTATTTATAAGAGTCCAATTTACTTTCCATCCTCTATACAACCAGCTGTCCCTGCCCCACAGAAAATCTACATTTAATAGTAAAGCAGGATAGCAAACAAAAAAACCCGATTCATATATGTTGAGTTCCTGAGAAGCAAGAAACCTAGGCTGAAGATGGTCATAAAACTGAGAAAGAATTTTCTGTTTCCTTCACATAGGAATACCAATATTCATTATATGTTTGCATAAACGGTCAAATTACTTATTAATTTCTTCTTTACTCATTCGTGTATATTTCTATTTATCTTTTTTCTCTTTTTTCATCTCACTCATACGGATTCACAGTAGAAAACAGAGTGACCTTGGTTTTGCAAACACACACTATGGGGGGCCTTGTGTTTTCACCTGTTTGTCTGCCTGAGAGCTGAAAGATGAGTTAGGGTGAAAAACCTTTTATTATTTCCTTGTGGTGACAAGTATTTTTTCTGGACTCTGTGACATAACTCCAGTTATGAGACAGTCTGATGCCAGAGTTTCTGAACAGCTCAACTTTGACTTCACGGTATCTAGATTTATACTTCTTTTATTTGATTTTAGGTAAATTGCTAAAAATGCTTAAAAACTTTGAAGTACACTTTTTGAAATGCCATATTTTTTTTAATTACTAAATAATGAATGCCATTTCTATATTCTTAGCACAATTATACTTTATTTAGAGGAACAGCAATCTTGATTTTTATGTTATTTATTAGGACTGAGATGAAATTTTGTAATTCTGAAAAAAGGACAAAAAGAGAAGAGAAAGGTTATTATGATATAAGAATATAAATCTATCAATTCTCCAAAAGCTTCTATACCTTTTGAATTCCCTACTGTGTTATTGAAGGCAGTGGCACAATTTATTAGGGTTTTTTTCACCTCATTTTAATCTCAGAATACGCAATTAAAATTTGCAATCATTATCTTGACTGTCATGACTTTGGTAACTTTCGAACAAAGAGTCCCATTTACATCAAAAGGAATGAAATGCCAGTGGTTTTTTTGGGTGCTTTTTTTTTTTTTTTTTTTTTTTTTTTTGTGTGTGTGTGGTTTTGTTTTTTTCTCTGTCCCTGACCTTTTCTGCTGTGTGGTTTAAGTTCAGCTGCAAATGATTCTGAAATTTTTCAAGCATATAAAGTCATTATAAACAGTGACCAAAAGAAAGGTCATTCATTGTGGCTTCTGCTCATTTCTATTCATACAGTTTCAACAAAAACAGTTGGAGGCCTTCTGAGAAGTATAAAACTGGATCAAAGGGCACACCTTGAGGCATTGTGAATCTAATGAGTAAAGAAAGCACTCACCACCATTTTGGAGTGTTTCAGCTCTAGCAGGATCTCAGTATGTGCTCGTTAATCAAATTAATTCTGAGGCAACACCTTTTTGGGTGAAAAATGTTGGGGAACTGTCATGCTGTTTAAAAACCTTCATAGTGGGGTATCTCTATAAAGCTGAGTCCCCTGAAGTAAAGATTGCACCCTCTGCCTCTTCCTGTCCTGTGCCTTCCTCCACTCCTTCCACCAAGTCAGTGTTTTGCATCAGTGCAGTAACAAATCTGATCAATACTTCAGGCAGAACAAAATCTAAGTACGCTTATGAGAGAGAAGAATGAAGGACTGAAGGTTGCATCTGTTCAGTCCTACACTTAAGACAGCTTTTCCCTGCACTGTTTAAGTATGAACTAGAGCTAAGGAGTGCCGCCAGACATCTTTTGCTTGTTTGTTTTGCTTTAGTGAATATGAAATGGAATTAAGACAAGTCAATTTTTATGCAGGAATGTGAGATGTGACACATACCTGCTACTGAGTTGCCTCCAAATAAGCCTTCTTCCATTTAAGAGATGCCTAATCCCACTCATGATTAAAGCCTTTGCCATAGATTTGAGAATATTTCCATTTGTATCAAGACATGTTAAAATCAACTTGTATTTAGTAATGAATGAAATACCAAGAATTACAAACGAGCCATTCCAAGCCCCTTTATTCCGTTTTCTGATGCTTCTCAACTTTGAGGAAAAAAAATCACAAAAAAACAATGAATTCAAGAGAGAGAAAAAATGAAAGAAAAATATTTTTCATTCTGGCACTATTTAGAACTATATTTTTTTTATGACTGCAAGAAAAGTGGCTAAACCAGATAACAGTGTACAGTGATACCATACACATCATAAAAGTTCTGCAGCTGTTAAGATAACCAATACTATATGGGCAAATATGGGCTTAATTTACTACTTTCTTGAATAATTTTCTTCTGACTTGTTCTGTTGGATAAGCCTTTTTTCTTTTGCTTTAAGACATAATGTATTAAAAGATTATTTAGATTATTTTGAAATACTAATATCTATTTTCCTCTTTTTTAATCATGGCATTCCATATCAAGAGAATATGCCAGTTATGTGACAGTGTGAACAGTATCAAATGCTACTTGGGCAGGTGAAGTGAAGCAGCAGTAGCAGTATGAAGCCTTGCTGACTAGATGACTCGGAGTCTATTCCAGTTCTCACCATAAGAGAATAGATCCCTGTTCTTATTTTTCAATGTTCATAATAGAAATTTTTCTTTCATTAACTGCACGTGGAAGCAATCAGACACCACCTTCAATTATGTCTATTGAAGAATTTCCGTTTGGAAGAAGTTTGCAATCTCAAAAGTGAACTGTCAAATTGACAGAAAGCATTTGACTTTATGGCACCCACTTAGTGCAATTAGTTGAAATTATTCTAGCTCACTCTGTAACACTCCCTGAGAATTAGGAATCTAAGGACAGTATTACTCAGTTCAGGACTCCCTTTTTATCCCATATCCACTGAGTCTTTAATTTATTTCCTTTCTCTCTTGAGTTATTGTATACCGAGATTTCTCACTTTCTACAGGAAATTTTTAATTATCTCTTCAAATGTTTCATGAAGTAACACAGAGGAAGATACTCTGGGATGTGCTGGTTTTATTTATAGATGATATCTCCATGTACATTTCAAGGCTGCTCAACCTAACATTGGGAAATTAAATAAACCATTGTGGATGTGAGAAAGTCAGGAAGAAAATGCTGTGTAATCCACAAAGTGGGATACTCACCTGAGTATGAAGAAAACTTTATTGTTTTGATCTAATAATATTTTTCACCATTATACAGGGCATGCATCAAAGCCAGAAGCTGTAAAAATTGTCTGCACAATCTTTCTCATTTGGATTGGAAATATCACTCTTTTCAGAATCTGACATCTATGGCAAAGCGAAGAGAATGATCTTTAAAATGATAAAGATCTAAAGAAGAAATTGAAAAAAAAAAGTTCCATGTATTCCAAGTGAACTCTAAATCTCTGAACCTCTTTTCTGAACACTGGGGCTGAAAGAGGGGCCTATTTTGAAGAACCAAAATGGTTAGGCATATTCAAAAACTGCACATCAGTGCCATCCCAGGAAATGAAAAAGAAAAATCCAACAGGATATAATCATAAGGCACATATCAGTGCTGTCAAAAGGAACTGCCTTCAATGTCACAAGAGAAGATGGTGAAGCCTGATGATCAGTGATGAGACAGAATAGCTGGTAGCTAGATGAGGAAAACACAGCAAAAGAAAAGTCAGACAGAAAAAGAGGGAGAGGCTTAATGAAAGTATGAAATGTAAAGGATGAACATTTTGGCAAGTCAGGGAGCTGAAGTAGGGCATCAGGGCAAAGGAAGTAAAAGTGATCAAATGGATCATTTAACAAAGAAGCCAAAGAAAAGTGCAGGTTGCTGAGGAAACACAACTGAGGCTGAAATTTGAGAGGAAAGCTGAAATGTAGTGAGGTGATTGGCAGTGATAGGACATGACAGCAGCTGTAAAGAAGACAGGGGACTTCCTGCAAGTGCTGAAAATGAAAGGAGAATTGAAAGGATTTAAAGGGAATGATGAGGAGTACCCAGTACACCCAGCACCCCTGATCTGGTCTACAGTAAGTAGGTGAAATGAAAAGATAAAATATTTCAGGTTTCCATAAATCAGAAGGTTGTATGTCAGTAAAAGTGCTGTGAATGGCTGTATTTTTGTTCCATTTTATTTTATTTTGTTCTAAGGATGGAGGAAATGTCCAGAGAAAGGAAAAGGATAGCAATAGAAATGGCCATAGAAGTGACAAAGCAGCCCATGAGTGGTGAAGGTTTTGAGGAGGATAGATAAGCGTGATGGGAATAACAGGCATTCCGGATGGCACTTTTTAAAGAATATATCACAGAGCTGATTGAAAAAATATGAATGTGGGAATCTGGATTGGTACTAGTTTGAAAATGAGAACAACACTGAAAAAATGGCGTATCTTGAGTCTGTAGATAGATAAAGGTGCTGGGTATAGTATTACAGTGTGAGAAGTTTATATGGTGTATTTATTCTGAACATGAAGGTGAATAAGGTGAAAGATGTACAAAAGTACTGTGGAATAGGCAGGCATTACTGCAGCATCTGTGAGCCGTCAAAAGCTTTCATGGAAAACAAATCACTGACAGTTTATTTCTTTTCATGCTTCTGAAATTGTTTTTTTTCTGGATCTCACCCACTGTGCTCACAGAAGCAAAAGTAATTGGTAATCCAACAATTGGGAATGCATGAAAGTTCTCTGAAGAGAACTTGCAAAATCAGTTGTAATGTTGAATGAGGATGTCTTAATTGTATGTCAGTTGAATGAGGATGCTGGATTCTAAAGCTGTTCTGACTGACATAATTGTCAAGGTTAAAAACCTTCTTGTCTATGTGATTTCTTTGCACTGAAGAGGTACTGAAGCAGCTTATATTATTGGGTAGGCTTTTAGGTGTGTCCTTTAGTGAAAATTAAAAGCTTTCCATCTCAGTTTGATCAACTTCCACACATTTTATATGTGCTCAGCAATTCACAGTGTGCCAACACTTTACTCTGTAACTGGAAGATGGATGTTTCCACTAAAATGTTACATTTAAATACTGGAAGTACAAAGCTCATATTTTTAACTGAACAGTCAGGATTACAGATTATCATCACTTTTCAGAAAGATGGGCACATTGTTAAAAATAACTATATGAAATTGTCTCTGGTCTGATTTGCTGTAGCAGGTGGGCTAGATAAACTCTACAGAGCCTTTCCAGCCAAGTTGTGCTCCTGTGGTTCTTAGGTATCACTGTGAAAGAACACTTTGATTTGTATGTGCAGAATAATCTGGTGACCCTTGAATATATCTTAATGAAACTTGATATTCAGAGAAAAACTTTAGCTGATATATGTTAGAGGATGTAATTCTTATTCTGGACTTCAGTTTCATGTACAAAGTTCTTTTTTTGTATCAAAGATGCAATCGTTATGTTTACCCAGCATAAAACTCCCTGTATGGCAAATCATTTTGTTTTCTATTGAATAAGTGCTGGATTCTGGATCTAAATGTCATTTAGTTAATAATGTATTGTTACTCCTGTAAAATAGCATTTTATCTTTAAATCTTAACTGAATAAAGTGCATACTTGGTTGTGGATACATCACTGTAGGATCACAACACTGTTTTCTGCAGACATTTCTGTCATCTATAAATAGAGGACCATTACATCACACTACTTTTTCTGGTTGTCACTTATTCCTATAAGAGAACGGCAAAAGGACAAAAGCCAGCTCTCAAGGTGTTGAAGAACTGTAGTACAGGGATTGAGCTCCATCTTGTGGAATAAAGAGAAGCCTACATTCTTTTTTCCCCTTCAGAGAAATGATTGTAAAAGGCATAATTTAATAAATTTCCTTTTGAAAGTTTTCCTTGTTGAAGTTTTAATCAGGTAGGGGTAAATTTGTTACAACATACATCACATTCATAAGAAATATTAGAGTTAAAATTGTTGGGAGATAGAGCCATGGGACATAATGTCTAGTGAACATTTTTTTTAATACAGGAGATGACAGAAGTATTGTCAATTGAACTATTAATATTTTTAAATATACACTGAAGTACTGGATTTCAAAACTCAGGCTTTTAGGTCCTTTATTAACTCATTTTAACCCATTTGTTAAAAAAAAAGAAAATATCACCTTCCAGTTATACTGTAAATGCATCCCAAAATATTATGAAAATAAATTAATATATCGTCAGATAAGCATACAGACACTCCTACAATAAAATTTAGTAATCTTTTCAATTAAAATTTTCCATTGAAGAATGTTAATGTTAATATTAATGGAAGCTGAGGGAGAAAAATAAAATTATTATTTATGCATTTATGGTACACTCTGTTGAACATAAAAAATGGTTTTGAGATTGAAGAAGATCGTCTTTGAATTTAAAAGAAGTATACCATGAAAGACATTCAATACTATATTCAAAGTGCAGAATTTTTGCACATATAATAACTCATGCATACACATATAGGACAGGAAAATGTAGCCTGTGTATTTTGTGCAGCTGTAACTATGAGATCGTCTGACTTTGGGTTTTCTTAATTGGGTTAATCTGAGATAAATGGGAGGGGAGGGGATGTAATTTTAAAAACAATAATCAGACCAGTAATACCTACTCATCAAAACTGCACAAAAGCACTTAGTGGGTGCTTATAAAATGTCAAGAATACAACTCTTGTATGAGTTGTAGTGACACATACAAAATCTCTGTCTCTTTCCAGATAAATATCTTTCCAAATCTGGCTTTAAAAATTATGTCAATTAAAGTTTTGAAAAAACTCTCCTTGTGATTGTAACTTTTAGTGGCTCCATTGAGACTTTCTACAAATTTTAGTGAAACAAATATTCCCAAAACTCTTATCTAGGTTCCAGCTTTGCCCTTGTTCATGCTACATTTCTAAAATAAAGGCTTGGTCACTGGGTGTCATTTTGGGTCAGCACTTTTCATAGAGTCATAGAATCACTAAGGCTGGAAAAGACCTGCAGATATTCAAGTCCAACCTTCGACTTCATACCACCATACCCACTGAAACATTACAAAGTTCCGCATCCACTCTTTTTTTAAACTCTTAAACACAGGGATGATGACTGACATTTCCCTGGCCAGCCCAGTGCACACACACACAAGGGATAGAAAAAAAGCAAGGCCTACCTGCCTCTTCCCTCCTGCCCCCCACCTCGACTGCCCAAGGAAAAGCACGCGCCCCCCTCAGGAGGAAAAAGTAGCCTACAGCACCCGGTATTCCCAGGCGGTCTCCCATCCAAGTACTAACCGGGCCCGACCCTGCTTAGCTTCCGAGATCAGGCGAGACCGGCCGCTCTCAGGGCGGCAGGCCGTAGGCACCTGCCGGCCCCTCGGCGGCGGCCTTCAACCCACCACACCACGCTCCGGGAAGAAGCTGAGAACCCCACAGGGGCTTGACAAGCCCAACAGGGCCACCCCTGCCCACAAGGGGATCTAGAGACAGACCCCAGCCCAGTGCACACACACACAAGGGATAGAAAAAAAGCAAGGCCTACCTGCCTCTTCCCTCCTGCCCCCCACCTCGACTGCCCAAGGAAAAGCACGCGCCCCCCTCAGGAGGAAAAAGTAGCCTACAGCACCCGGTATTCCCAGGCGGTCACCCATCCAAGTACTAACCGGGCCCGACCCTGCTTAGCTTCCGAGATCAGGCGAGACCGGCCGCTCTCAGGGCGGCAGGCCGTAGGCACCTGCCGGCCCCTCGGCGGCGGCCTTCAACCCACCACACCACGCTCCGGGAAGAAGCTGAGAACCCCACAGGGGCTTGACAAGCCCAACAGGGCCACCCCTGCCCACAAGGGGATCTAGAGACAGACCCCAGCCCAGTGCACACACACACAAGGGATAGAAAAAAAGCAAGGCCTACCTGCCTCTTCCCTCCTGCCCCCCACCCCGACCGCCCAAGGAAAAGCACGCGCCCCCCCCAGGAGGAAAAAGTAGCCTACAGCACCCGGTATTCCCAGGCGGTCTCCCATCCAAGTACTAACCGGGCCCGACCCTGCTTAGCTTCCGAGATCAGGCGAGACCGGCCGCTCTCAGGGCGGCAGGCCGTAGGCACCTGCCGGCCCCTCGGCGGCGGCCTTCAACCCACCACACCACGCTCCGGGAAGAAGCTGAGAACCCCACAGGGGCTTGACAAGCCCAACAGGGCCACCCCTGCCCACAAGGGGATCTAGAGACAGACCCCAGCCCAGTGCACACACACACAAGGGATAGAAAAAAAGCAAGGCCTACCTGCCTCTTCCCTCCTGCCCCCCCACCTCGACTGCCCAAGGAAAAGCACGCGCCCCCCTCAGGAGGAAAAAGTAGCCTACAGCACCCGGTATTCCCAGGCGGTCTCCCATCCAAGTACTAACCGGGCCCGACCCTGCTTAGCTTCCGAGATCAGGCGAGACCGGCCGCTCTCAGGGCGGCAGGCCGTAGGCACCTGCCGGCCCCTCGGCGGCGGCCTTCAACCCACCACACCACGCTCCGGGAAGAAGCTGAGAACCCCACAGGGGCTTGACAAGCCCAACAGGGCCACCCCTGCCCACAAGGGGATCTAGAGACAGACCCCAGCCCAGTGCACACACACACAAGGGATAGAAAAAAAGCAAGGCCTACCTGCCTCTTCCCTCCTGCCCCCCACCTCGACTGCCCAAGGAAAAGCACGCGCCCCCCTCAGGAGGAAAAAGTAGCCTACAGCACCCGGTATTCCCAGGCGGTCTCCCATCCAAGTACTAACCGGGCCCGACCCTGCTTAGCTTCCGAGATCAGGCGAGACCGGCCGCTCTCAGGGCGGCAGGCCGTAGGCACCTGCCGGCCCCTCGGCGGCGGCCTTCAACCCACCACACCACGCTCCGGGAAGAAGCTGAGAACCCCACAGGGGCTTGACAAGCCCAACAGGGCCACCCCTGCCCACAAGGGGATCTAGAGACAGACCCCAGCCCAGTGCACACACACACAAGGGATAGAAAAAAAGCAAGGCCTACCTGCCTCTTCCCTCCTGCCCCCCCCCTCGACTGCCCAAGGAAAAGCACGCGCCCCCCTCAGGAGGAAAAAGTAGCCTACAGCACCCGGTATTCCCAGGCGGTCTCCCATCCAAGTACTAACCGGGCCCGACCCTGCTTAGCTTCCGAGATCAGGCGAGACCGGCCGCTCTCAGGGCGGCAGGCCGTAGGCACCTGCCGGCCCCTCGGCGGCGGCCTTCAACCCACCACACCACGCTCCGGGAAGAAGCTGAGAACCCCACAGGGGCTTGACAAGCCCAACAGGGCCACCCCTGCCCACAAGGGGATCTAGAGACAGACCCCAGCCCAGTGCACACACACACAAGGGATAGAAAAAAAGCAAGGCCTACCTGCCTCTTCCCTCCTGCCCCCCACCTCGACTGCCCAAGGAAAAGCACGCGCCCCCCTCAGGAGGAAAAAGTAGCCTACAGCACCCGGTATTCCCAGGCGGTCTCCCATCCAAGTACTAACCGGGCCCGACCCTGCTTAGCTTCCGAGATCAGGCGAGACCGGCCGCTCTCAGGGCGGCAGGCCGTAGGCACCTGCCGGCCCCTCGGCGGCGGCCTTCAACCCACCACACCACGCTCCGGGAAGAAGCTGAGAACCCCACAGGGGCTTGACAAGCCCAACAGGGCCACCCCTGCCCACAAGGGGATCTAGAGACAGACCCCAGCCCAGTGCACACACACACAAGGGATAGAAAAAAAGCAAGGCCTACCTGCCTCTTCCCTCCTGCCCCCCACCTCGACTGCCCAAGGAAAAGCACGCGCCCCCCTCAGGAGGAAAAAGTAGCCTACAGCACCCGGTATTCCCAGGCGGTCTCCCATCCAAGTACTAACCGGGCCCGACCCTGCTTAGCTTCCGAGATCAGGCGAGACCGGCCGCTCTCAGGGCGGCAGGCCGTAGGCACCGCCGGCCCCTCGGCGGCGGCCTTCAACCCACCACACCACGCTCCGGGAAGAAGCTGAGAACCCCACAGGGGCTTGACAAGCCCAACAGGGCCACCCCTGCCCACAAGGGGATCTAGAGACAGACCCCAGCCCAGTGCACACACACACAAGGGATAGAAAAAAAGCAAGGCCTACCTGCCTCTTCCCTCCTGCCCCCCACCTCGACTGCCCAAGGAAAAGCACGCGCCCCCCTCAGGAGGAAAAAGTAGCCTACAGCACCCGGTATTCCCAGGCGGTCTCCCATCCAAGTACTAACCGGGCCCGACCCTGCTTAGCTTCCGAGATCAGGCGAGACCGGCCGCTCTCAGGGCGGCAGGCCGTAGGCACCTGCCGGCCCCTCGGCGGCGGCCTTCAACCCACCACACCACGCTCCGGGAAGAAGCTCAGAACCCCACAGGGGCTTGACAAGCCCAACAGGGCCACCCCTGCCCACAAGGGGATCTAGAGACAGACCCCAGCCCAGTGCACACACACACAAGGGATAGAAAAAAAGCAAGGCCTACCTGCCTCTTCCCTCCTGCCCCCCACCTCGACTGCCCAAGGAAAAGCACGCGCCCCCCTCAGGAGGAAAAAGTAGCCTACAGCACCCGGTATTCCCAGGCGGTCTCCCATCCAAGTACTAACCGGGCCCGACCCTGCTTAGCTTCCGAGATCAGGCGAGACCGGCCGCTCTCAGGGCGGCAGGCCGTAGGCACCTGCCGGCCCCTCGGCGGCGGCCTTCAACCCACCACACCACGCTCCGGGAAGAAGCTGAGAACCCCACAGGGGCTTGACAAGCCCAACAGGGCCACCCCTGCCCACAAGGGGATCTAGAGACAGACCCCAGCCCAGTGCACACACACACAAGGGATAGAAAAAAAGCAAGGCCTACCTGCCTCTTCCCTCCTGCCCCCCACCT